CGTCCTCACCCAGCATGGATACACGAAATAAATGAATTATGCAACAGCGGCAGTTTTTACATCTCTTTACGCTAAGATATTCCAGTAGTTATCATTGACTACGTTTACACGGACAGCAGTAATCTAATTGTTTCTTAATCAGAGTACCGTCTTAATCGGGTTCGTATCGGATTATTGTCGTCCATGTAAACGCACTGACTGTGTGTGTGTGTGTGTGTGTGTGTGGGGTTGGCGGGGGAGGGTGTCAGTGCGTGTGTGTGGGTCAATGTCAGTGTCAGTGCTGCGGTTTCAGAGGTGCACCTGTCACTTTTATCCTGCAAGCTTCAACCTTACAAGTGTTTACCTCAGACTGACAGCGAGCTCCTTCCAGAACTACTAACCCTGTTACACGCCTTGTCCTCCTCTCTTTATTCACCGGGAACATCTCCTAGCTTTCCAAGAAACACTCAGGCTGAAGGATCAGTATGTTTAGATGTACTTACATTTACATTTGCTGGTGATTTTGTCCAGATACACTTAGACCTGAGGTGGTCAACGTCAATATACGTATTACGTTTAAATGATGTATATGTATAATATACGTTTCTAGATATTTCTAATAATATTTCCTTATCATAATACAAATGTAAAAAAAAATAAATAAATAAAGCAATAAATAAGCAAATACGTAAGTATATAGTATGTAGTATATAATATATTATTTAACATAGTGTATAATTCAAAATAAATAATAATCAAAATAAAACTGAGGATCTCAGACATCGTAATATATATTCTGTAATGAGCAGGACTCATACAGTCTCTCTGTAATTGCCTCGTTTATTTTTAGGTATTATAATGGTCCAAAAGGGAGAAAACCAAAGCATAAGGCAACTTCTTAGCATCGTGCAGAGTACTACAGTACGTTCTTATTCGGTCGTCTTTTCACCGCAACGTTACAGTTTTCTTTATGACGTCTTATAATAAAGGTTTTGATCCTGCTGTCAGTCTCACTGTGTATCGATCACTCAATCATGGACCCCCAGTACCTGTCTCTCCTTGTTGTGAAAGGGAAGCGAGTGAGAACAGTTGGAGGCTTGGTGTAGAAAGGAAGCTCATCAGTCACCGTGACAGTTACATAATAACGTACATTAATAAGAGATGTAGACGCCTTTAACGGCAGCGTGTCTCGCTGGCCTCGAGTGACAGGCTCGCACCATGCTCTCATCATCTCTCAATGTCATGTAAAACATATCAGATCCATACCTCTCTCTCTCTCTCTCTCTGATTCGTCTGTTTATCAGAGTCACGCTGCCTCGTGAAGGTCCAGCTCTAGCACTCCGAAGCACAAATAGCAACATGCATTATACAATGGGTTCTAATCACATGGCATAAAACACAACCGGGTGGTGTGATGAAGTAGAGTTACCGCTACAACCCCCGAAGTCGATGCGGTGCTAGCTACTACGACAACCACTACTAGCGCGCTAGCACTAGCGTACCTGCTAACACCGCACCTGAAAATGATCCCTCCACGGTCCTACGTCTGGTTGGAGTTCTCATCAATTAGAAGTCACATGCTGCTGCTGAGGATGTCCCCACATGGTGCAGCCTAAAGATCATTGAGATTACTCAGGGTTGTACCACTTTAAAGACCATAAAGATGGATCTGGACCTCAGTTCATATGAACACATATGCTACAGTACGATGGCTTGGACTTCAATTACCACAAACAGTCTTACACTCAAATCTCCGTCAGTGAGCAGCGGAGAAGTCCAACAAAACAGACTTCATGTAGAAACTGTAATGAACTTTCCTGCGTACACGATTGCACCATGTAGCATTAGCACATTTATAGAAGGGGTGTATTTATTTCTAATCGCACTATCCGGTGTCACCCAGATGAGGACGGGTTCCCTTTTGAGTCCGGTTCCTCTCAAGGTTTCTTCCTCATATCGTCTCAGGGACTTTTTCCTCACCACCGCCTCCTCTGGCTGCTCATTAGGGATAAATTCATGCATTTAACATCTAGATCCTGAACGTATATGTTTCCGTAGAGCTGCTTTGGGACAGCGTCCACTCTTAAAAGCGTTATACAAACACAACTGAATTGAACTGAATCGTAAAGACGGTCCTGAGCTCATCCCAGAGCTCTTATTCACATTCTCATTCTGAACATCCTGTAGATGTGTGGACTCGGTACTGTTATGACTTACACTCACACGATAGTTATGTATCTCGTGAGTACATGAAAGCTGCTTTGTGACTGGACCTATTGTTAGAACAGACTTTAATTGCGTAGACTTGACTGTGCTGTTCAAAAATGTCCAAACCCGCCACTTACTTGAGCAGTATGCAGCCACTGCCTGACGGGGGCGCTGTCCAGAACACTTGTATTTTGGTCCTTCGTCGAGGGGTGCTCTCGGTCACAGCAGGGGGGCAATTGGTCATAAACTGTGTGTCCTCTTCGTCGATGATCTGGAGAACAGATGCACAAGAAGAAACAGACGAATAAACAGTCTTACATTTCTTAGTATTTTATAGAGGCCATGCATTATTAGGGTTTGTTTTTTCTTCTTCCTTGTTTTCTCATGATCACGAATTTTCTCGTGGTCATGGCTTCATTTTTTCTGTACACTCAACATAACAACATGTTGTTTTTATTGTTCTGGAGGCAGCAAAAGCTTAGCGGAGTCCCGCAGCATCGTGGATGAACAAATTCCTTAGCTCTATATCTCTAACTATCTCTCTCTCTCTCTCTCTCTCTATATATATATATATATATATATATATATATATATATATATATATATATATATATATATATATATATATATATATATATCTAGCTATATCTCTATCTATATCTCTGTATCTATAGCTCTACATCTATATCTCTATATCTATATCTATATCTCTATCTATCTATCTATCTATCTATCTCTATATCTATGTATATCTCTATCTATATCTCTACATCTATATCTCTGTATCTATATCTCTATATCTATATCTATATCTATATCTCTATCTATCTATCTATCTATCTATCTCTATATCTATGTATATCTCTATCTATATCTCTACATCTATATCTCTGTATCTATATCTCTATATCTATAACACTATATCTATATATTTCTATATCTCTGTATCTCTGTATCTATATCTCCGTAACTCTATATCTATATCTATATCTCTAGCTATCTATATTTCTATACCTCTATATCTATAATTCTATATCTATATATTTCTATATCTCTGTGTCTCTGTATCTCTATATCTATATCTATATCTCTAGCTATCTATATCTATATGTGCCTATATCTATATCTATAGATATCTCTATATTGCTTAATATTCCATGAGCAAATACTATTGGGCGGTTGTGGATCAGGTGGTGGAGCGGGTTGTCCACTAATCGTAGGGTTGGCGGTTCGATTCCTGGTCCACATGACTCCACATGCCGAAGTGTCCTTGGGCAAGACACTGAGTTTCTCCCGATGGCATGTTAGCGCCTTGCTTGGCATCTCTGCTACCATTGGTGTGTGTGTGTGTGTGTGAATGGGTGAATGAGACACAGTGTAAAGCGCTTTGGATAAAAGCGCTATATAAGTGCAGACCATTTACTTCTGCATAGATTAATCATTGTCATTTAAGCCTCTTCTAATGTTGTTGTTTTTTTAAAGTTTGAATTAAACTAACCTAGTCACATATAGTTACTTCCACTATGATTTTAAGATTTAGATTTGCTTGTAATTAAAGTTTTGTAATAAGTATAATCACATTTATAACAGGATTACTATTACTCCTGATAATCCTGCACTCAAGCATTGTATTATTATTATTATTATTATTATTATTATTATTATTATTATTATTATTATTATTATTATTATTATTATTATTATTATTGTTTTTATTGTTATTATGAGTCTTTAGGCAGTGATAAATTAAAAAAGGTGTCATGCAGTTTAAAGGAAAATAATCACTGATTATTATAGGTTATGAAGATTCAATTTTTTTGTTAGTGCCACTAAGTTGTTTATTTTCCCGAAACAGCACACCCTGAAGAGTTCTACTGCTCTTATACCGCGGCAATTTACTCTTTCATTTCCGTTTAGTATCGTGTATCCATTTATGTCAACACTCTGACTGCTACAAAGCTCTGACACTGGAGACTCCTTCCATCAATGTTTAAACAAACGTCTCCTTAGAGTAAGAAAATGTCACCAAATCAACGATTTCCCACGTTCTGTAGCCTGTTCACGCGGTGCGTCCGCTCTACGAGTCCCCGTGAACGAGCTGTTGCTGTTACCGTTGCTATAGAAACGATAACGTATGGAGAACGAGCACAGTAACATAAACCTGTGATTCGCACCTGCACTCGGAATCGACGTCACTGTGGTGTAACGTATATCAGATGAGGAACTCGTTAAGAGCGATAACAGTGTCGTGGAGAAATCGATCTGAATGCATCAACAGGCATGAAGTCGATACGGAAATAACGATTTCCCGTTAAAAGCACCAAACCGTCACATCAGAGCTGTAATGAAACTTAATTAAACACAATCGACTGAGTTTTGAAGTCTGTGTGTGTGTGTGTGTGTGTGTGTGTGTGTGTGTGTGTGTGTTCCATCACTACGACACCTTGTGAGAACACAGTAAAAAGGTCCAGCCGTGAACAGTGTCAGGCTGACCTTTGACCCACAGCGTTTGGTTAGCCGAAGGAGTTCGAGCCTGTTGGTCCAGCTGAAGCAACAATACAAGACCAATACAAAATCAAAAAAAAAGCACTGAATAGAGCCCAAAGAACATACTTAAATAAAATGGAGCTCTTGTTAATATCACAAGCAGGTTGCTAGGAATGACTGACGCATGCTGGGGTTCTTGCTGTAGCAAAGCTTTCTCTGCACATGCACGTGGATTTCTGCGATAAAATTAAACTCACGGCGCACGCCAGCGTCAGTGCCCATGTACACGCGAAACACAGAGCAGCACAGGTTTAGAAACACCACGCTTAGGAGGCGCAGTGGTTAACGCAGCTGATTAGCAATCAGAAGGTCATGAGTTCAAGTCCCAGCACTGCCAAACTGCCGGGTTAGGGTTAGCCTGAGCGAGTGGCGTCGAATGGCGACGTTTAAACATTTTAAGGGAGGAAGTGGAGGCTCAGTGGTTAAAGGCTCTGGGAGACTGATCAGAAGGTCAGGAGGTCAAGCCCTTGAGCAAGGCCCTTAACCCCGAATTACTCAGTTGTATAAATGAGATAAATGTGAGTCGCTCTGTATAAGGGCATCTGCCAAATGCTGTAAATGTAAATGTAATGAGTCTCCAGTGTCAGCGCTGTACAGCAGTTTTCCCCAATGGGAAAACACCGACGCAAGCCGTAACAGGAATTAAATTGTCTCAAAGACGGGCGCCATCTTTAACCGGAACTACAAATGTACAAATAAATAAATAACACACGTGAACGATCAAGTGGCGTTCTTTAATTCATACGAACTGTAAGTTCTTATCACGTTGCTGCGGTATAAGAGGAATAAAACACGTCACGTGTTCTAAATGAACACGGCTCTCGGTGCGCCATAATCAGAAAGTGTGTCATTTACTGTACATGGAACCTGAGAACGAATATACTGTATGTTTAAAGAGGTCATGGCATGAGAATTGTGCGTTAAATAGCTGAATACGTCCTCGTCAGTACACGAAGGCCGTTTGTTTACCCAAGCGCCAAAAACCGCATATGCAAATTACATTTGCATATGCCCGCCCCTACAACAGGACATCGGCACCCACTTCTACATCATCGCAATGTTGGCCCCGCCCACTGGTGCTCAATCTCTGTAATCAGTTTTGGCAGGGTTGATATTTAATTGACAGGCAAAGGTGCTGGCCAATCATAGTAGGAGGTGTTTACATTGAAGTCTTAAAGGTAAAGGACACAAAAAGGGGATGGTTTTGTTCACAGGGTCAGAGACACGGTCGATAAATGATTACATATTGTATGTTTGTTTGTGCAAAAAAATGTACTAATATTATAATTACAGCTCAGGGGAAAAAAAAACCCTTTAAGCAATGTTTTCAAATCTTTTTCGTAATCTGTAGATCTCTATATCGAAGTATATTTATTTCTTAAACATGTTCTAATATGACGCTGGAACTGACGCAGACCCAGCGTGTTGAACAGCTCTGACCTCGGACCAGCTTTTCTTCCTCGAGCCCTCAAAATTAAATCCACGGTGCTGTGCCAATGGTGGAGAGGCGTTTTTTTCTGTTTTGTTTTGGGTTTTTTTTTTTTTTTAGAGGGGAGGGGGGTTGGAAAGAATGGCTTCATTCATTCAAGTCAGCATCTCAGTACTCATTATAACAAGCCACACACCAGTAAAAAAAAAATAATAATAATAATATGGATAATAATAATAATAATAATAATAATAATAATAAAAAAAAACCCAGGGGAAGAGAAATAGTGCTGGAAAAACTGCATGAGGACAGAGCCGAAGGAAAGAGAAGAAAAGAAAAGCGAAGAAAAGAAGCCGGATCCCCACGACGCGTAACCTTTCCTTTTCCCGAGGGTCTTTCTGTAGGGATCCAGAGTAATTACAGTTGAAACAGCACTGCTGAGAGTTTCACTCAGTTACACAACCGCATCAGGGGACATAAAACCTGCTTATGACTGTAGACGAGGTTTAATTAATTTACCTAAGTGTTCCTGACTTAATCCTGGAACACAACTCTCGGGGATTCTTAGCGAGGGGAAAATAAAAATATCGCTTTTATTACTTTTAAATGTTCTACAGGCGTATAACGTCTTACAAAATGTAACAAAAGATGTTTCGTCACTCGGTTGAATTTAGCATCGGCACCACAGCGCGGCTCCTTCCTGCCACGTCGTTGCTAAACGGCTCGGCTAAATTAGCACGTGTCAGGGTAGATGACTGGTTTAGTCCGCAGGAGTAGCTTATTTAACGAGTAGCGTACTAACATGACAGGTATACAGTAGGATTTATGCTCCAGCAAGAGCTCAAAATGGACATGGGGAAAGTTCCTCGTCTTCAGAGTAGGGTTACACACATGCGTAGGAAATCCTGGGTGTGCTACGTAGAGGAATAAAAAACGATCCTGCATGTCGTTTCTTCAGAATCTGTCCCACCACCGATTTTATCTAAAAGCGAGACCGCATTCTCAAGCTTTCCTTTTTCCGAAAACGTGTCATCACGGACTAATTCTCAACATCGCTTTAGCTTCACAAACCGAACCATTATATTTCCATTATATCCACTCCGTCTTTCACCAACCCAGCTAGTACGAGGTGAGAGCCAGGCCCTTATTTCCAACTTCCGCCCTCCAAAGCCCACTTTGTCTCGCCATGAAAACCAATCATGCTGAACAATGCCATCGAGATATTGAAGGAGAGGATGAAAGATGTCCACCGAGGGGAAGGAAGGAAAAAAATAAAAAAAATAGGAAGCAGGAAAAAAAGCTTTTTGACAGGATGGTAGGAATACACGGCATCGGTTTCGGTGTTCATCCCTCCGTAAAACGAATCCTCTATCGGCTCATAAACGAAACGAGATCTAGTGAACGAGGCGAAAAATATGAGACCTCCTCAGCGATCCCTGCATGAGGCTGGAAAGGAGAGAGGAGCTCTGTAAACGGATTTATAGTTTCTAAGTAAGTTTACACGATTTTTTATTATTATTCGCTCTTCCTCCCTGAGAGCTCGTGCCGTGAGACGGCGGATGCAGTAAAAGCAGATGGCGGTGCTGTAAGAGATTTGTCAGGTGTGGAGTGTGAAGCTGCTTCTACCTGAAGATGCGTCAGAGCAGAAAATCCTGGTGCTTTAGCATCAGGAGAACATTGCATGTCCATACAGCAGCAGAGACAGAACCGAGCGTCCCATATGGTCTAGGGGTCAGGCGGTTCGGGGTTTGACTCCCGGCGTGAGACGTAGTTCAAGGCAGCTGAGGCTCGGCTCGGCAGTTAAACCTCTTTACGTGCGAGTGATTTAAGATCCGAGGACTGCCAGAGAATCACTGTACGCGAACGTTTGTTGGTTAGTTCTGTATTTTCTGTGCAAGAGCTTGTTTTCGTTTGCAAACGCTGGGTTGAAAATCCCCAGAATGCAATGCAGCGGTACGATGCAGAGACTCGTACGGTTAGCGAGCTACTAGGCGACGAAGTCGCCGGCGGCGGTATTAGCACAAGCGGTGACGCTTCGGAAGCTGATCGATTTGAACGGCGTGTACAAGCGATGAGGCGAGGGGGCCGGGCAGACTAAATGACTAAAGCGCCGCTGCATCGCTCTCGTTAGGTTGAGATGGAAGTCCCACAGCGTCACTGCTAGCACGTCGTCAGACGGCATTGTGGGTAATGTAGGAAACCGTGAGGCAAAGTGAAAATACGCAAACACGTCGATGCAAATAGTGTCATCGCGAAACGGGCGCCTTTGACGGCCGCGTATTAATCATAAAGATTCGTATTCAAGGCGTTCTGGGTGAAATGGTCGTTTTACGTGGCCTGTAACTTCGCAGTTCTCGTTTTGGAAACGTTTTGGATAAGAGCCGAAATTAAGTCTCTCTCCTACCTGAAAATTCCCAGCGTAATCCTCCTCTTTTTCCCCGTTCCGTCCTTCCTTTAAAGCGATGAGCGTGAAGCCTCTGAAGTACGCAGGGTTGGCGGTGTACAGAGTCACTGTAAGGGTGAAAAACAAGCAGAATAATGACGTATTGATCATTCGTACAGGATTTCATCGAGCACAGATTCCCAGAAGGATCTCTGCGGTGTGACGCGGGATGGACTGAATGTGAACGCTGCTCCTGTAGCAGGAGAAAAGCAACAGAAACTCAAGCACGAAGACAGTCAACGTAGCGTGAACTTAACTCCGGAATCACGTCACGTTACATCTTTATTTTCACGTATGAAACTGCAGCATGCACTTTTACAAGTCGTAGCTGTATAGGCTTTATTTTTGATCCATTCGATATTTATATCGAATAGTTTTATATATATATATATATATATTTCTTAGTGTGCAAGACAAATGCGCAGGTCGGTAAAGTTCTTAAATTGTAAATCTTATACACTGTAGATATCGGGCTTATACAATACATTATACATCTATTTATATTTATTTTTTTTTTTGTATCATTACTGCGGCGTATTTTGGCGTTTGCAAAATATTGCACAAAACTGATATATGCCCATACGACAAGTGTTTATAGCACCGTGAGCGTCTGATCGTTCATCTCCGGTAAGCACTTCATCCCGGTAGGGGTGGTTCGGATCGTTCTCACACCGCACATAAATTAAACGACCCAAAAAGAGCAAAACAAATTATAAATCAATCAATCAATCAATCAATAAATAAGCGTTGCCTATAGGGGCCTGCAACCCAAAACACAGGACGTGCTCAGTTCACTTTGTGCAGCTGGATCGATTCGGGATCGATTCGCTTTCTCATTACGAATATAACCGCACTGGAGTTCAGCTGGAAACGGACCGAGACTGAATCGCTCGGACTGTCTCGGACCGGTCGCCGTGTTCCCAGCTGCATGAAAGAGGAAACAGACCAGACTTCAATTCGAACAGAGTAAACACTGTGTGTGTGTGTGTGTGTGTGTGTATATATATATAATAAGAGTCAAAACGTCCTTAGAGTGTCTAATCCACCTGGCTGGAGGAAACCGGAGAACCTAGAGGAAACACATGTAGGAGACACATCCACAAGAAGATGAGAAGATCAACACCATGGAGCTGTGAGGACGCAACGCTACGCAACTCTGCACAATACCCCTTTAATTGTGTGTGTGTGTGTTGTGTGTGTGTGTGTGTGTGTTCACGTTTATTGCAACATGATGTGTATATAATGTGCTTTATTATAAAGAATTCAGATCTTTCAGTGCGCAACATAAATAACGTTTTGCACGTTTCCATACGGTGCACGTGCGAGATCAATCCACGGTGATTGTGATGCACTGGACTTAAATCTCACCAGAATCATCCGAATGTGTCTGAATGTGGCATGAATGACGTCCCTGCGAAAACTGCATGCTGGAATCATCGCGACTTGGCATGATGCTACTTCATAACT